TATTATTATTATTATTATTATTATTATTATTATTATTATTATTATTATTATTAAATATCAATGTGATGAATATTATTGTAAACATTTTGATTATTTCCTAAAAATAATTGCACCCAGACAATACACTGTTTAATTGAAATTTTATATCTTATATAAATAAAACAAATACAAAATTTGAAGGGGGAAAAAGAACATCAAAACCAGGTCATCATCACTCCCATTTTGGGGGTTTGCCGTGACTTTCAACCATTGCTAAGCGACTGGTTGTAAATTGAGGAATACCTGTGCAGCATAACCATCCTCAGAGTTTACAACCTGGATTAGTCCTGAGGAAACTGACCATCTCAACAACAGGATCAGTTCAACAACATTTGAAGTTTGTCAGAATGGTGTAGGGTCTCCTGCTTGGGTTGGACTAGATGACCTACAAGATCCCTTCCAAGTTCCAACTCTGTTCATCTGTAAACTGAAAAGCGGATTTTCCCAGACAAAACCAGATTGCCTCTAAACGTGTTTGGGAATCCAATGTCACTCCTTTGGTCTTTTTAGTTGCCAGCAGAAAGGGAGTGGGGGAAAGCAGTGCATTCCTCAAATGCTTCAGATAATTGCTAGGCAGCCAAAGCTTCTGGCACGCAAGATTATTACTGGAGAGCACAATTGAGGACTCTTGCCAATGGATGTATCTCATTGGAGAATATACATCCAGGGGGTGGGAGGAAGACCAGGGTCAAAGGTGAAATGAATGATGTGTCAGAGTCAGCTGCAACCAGGAAATGCCGACATGTTAACTCCTAATAAATCAATCTTTTTTACTCTGAGAAATGCGGTTAGAGACTTGTGATTTGAATGGGGGTGCATGTTGGAGTCCTGACATCCGAGGGAATTGCAATACATTTTTTCATTCCAGGTTTCATTTCATGGCCCAACTATTCACATGGCGCTAAAAATCCATTTTTTTCTATCCTCTCTTCCTGCAGGCGAGAAACCAGTTCCCAATTCCCCGGGCACTGGCTTCGATTTCGGGTATCCGTCCGTTGCGCAAAACCACGCAGGAAGGGCACAACTTTGCAAAGCCCACAAGACCGCCTGTCCTTTTTGCCAGTTGCTGGAATTATGAATGCAAAACCGTTTACTGTTTGCACAATGTCTGAACATTCACCTCACTCTTCAGATGGAGACCCGGGTTGGGGAAGGAAAAGAGGGGGGGGAAAGGACAAAGGTTTTTCTGCCATGAGATTTTGGGGTGTAAGCCATTCTTGCAAGGGAATCAAGAAAGACTTGCTCTTCGATTGATGGGATGCCAGCAGCAACCACGAACCAACACTGGAGTCATCAAATATTTCTTATCCCATAATTACTGTGTTTCCCTCAAAATAAGACCTTGCCTTATAATTTTTTTTGCCACCAAAAAAGGCACCAGGTCTTATTTTCAGGGGATGTCTTTCACTGACTAACCTCACTTGCGTGCATCGCCCCTGGCCCATTTTCACTGTCTGAGGCCTTCAAGAACTTCTTCTGCAACTGGCAAGGCTATCCTGAAAGCCTTTGCAGGGGATAATGGAGCTCTGGATTGATCCAGAGCTTTGTTATCAGCTACAGAGGCCTTCAGGAAAGCTTTGCCAGCTGCAGAAGAAATGGGCCGGCAAGGCAGATGTCAGGGTGTGCGAGACCTGGCTACAGCTCCACCTCCCCTCATCTCCACCCTAGCTTAATTTTTACCTGTCCATTCTGGAGTGGGCGGGATCTTAATTAGGGCTTATATTGGGCGCACATGTAAATCAAGCTAGGACTTACTTTCAGAGTAGGTCATATTTTGGGGGAAACAGGGTATTAAAATTGGAAATTGCCCTGTACTTACAACCAGCAAATTTTGCAATGAGATGTTGCAAAATGTATGCAACTAAAACTATATTCCAGAAAGAGCTGGAATGGTCTAGATCAGTGTTTCTCAACCATGTGGCCTCTAGAAGACGTGTAGAGTTCAATGCCCAGCTTTCCTGGCTGGGGAATTCTGGGAATTGAAGTCCATACATGGCTGAAAAACTCTGGCCTAGATTTTGCACTGCCATTCTTCACTGACATGCCTTTCCCAAGGAATATCTTCAGTGCTAAGAAAATATAAATATTGGAGGATACCCAAAGGTCCTTTAGTCTGATTTTTACACAAGATGGTTAAACTTTGGTTCAGTTATCAGGAATGTGGGATTAAAAAACAACAACCAAACAAAATATTACAAATTATGGGTGTCTTCTTTGATGACTCTTGTATTCTGTTTTAGTGTTGCAGATTGCCAAAATTCACTGTAAACTGGAAGGTTTTTGGATCTTGGAGTCCAAGTAGACAATCACTTTAATATGAGCAGTATGCAGCAGCAGTCAACAAGGAGTGCAATCCTAGGCCATATGAACAGAGGGATAGAATCAAGCTCAAGTGAAGTTTTAGAACCATTTTATGCTGTCTTGGTAAGACCACACTTGGAATACTGCATCCAGTTTTAGTCACCACAATACAAAAAAGACATTGAGACTCTGGAAAGAATGCAGAGAAGAGCTACAAAGATGATTTAGGGGATTGGAGGCTAAAACATACCAAGAATGGTTGCAGGAATTGGGTATTTATAGTTTAATGAAAAGAAGGAGCAGGGGTGACATGAAAGCAGTGTTCCAGTATTTGAGGGACTGCCACAAAGAAGTGGGGGGAGGGGTCAACCTATTTTCCAAAGCACCTGAAAGCAGGAGAAGAAGCAGAGGATGGAAACTGGACGAAACAACCTGGAACTAAGAAGAAATTTCCTGACAGTTGGAATAATTAATCAGTGGAACAACTTCCCTCCAGAAGTTGTGGCTGCTCCATCACAGGAGGTTTTTAAGAAGAGACTGGATAGCCATTTGTCTGAGATGGTATAGGGTTTCCTGCTTGAGCAGGGGGTTGGACTAGAAGACCTCCAAGGATCCTTCCAACTCTGCTATTCTATTCCATTCCATTCTCTATTCTGTTCTGTTCTATTCCTCCATTCCAATACCTATTCTATTCTATTCATTCCATTCTTATTCTATTCTATTCATTCCATTCTTATTCTATTCTATTCTATTCTATTCATTCCATTATTATTCTATTCTATTCCTTCTAATATTTATTCTATTCTATTCTATATTATATTTTATTCCATTCTCTCATTCTGTTCTGTTCTATTTAATTCTCTATTCTATTCTATTCTATTCTATTCCATTCCACTATTCTATTCTATTCTATTCTATTCTATTCTATTCTATTCTATTCTATTCTATTCTATTCTATTCCATTCCATTCTATTCCATTCTGTTCCATTCCATTCCATTCCACACTCTATTCTATTCTATTCTATTCTATTCTATTCCATTCCATTCCATTC